TCTCATAGTCGGTGAATTTCACATAGTTATCCAATATGACACCCCAGAAGGTAGAAATACCCTCAACACTTTCTTTGTTGTTGCCTTCCAACGCCTGTTGCTGTAATTACGCAACAAACATTATTAATTTACCGTCTATAACACTACTTTTCAATATTTATTAATTTAACTCACCACTAAGAGGTATGGAAGGTAGCCAATCCTCCGGTGTGACTTTTGAGAATCGTAGCATATGGTCCAGGCGAGCAAATCGATAACCTAACAAAATTAATTACACAATCAGAACATATTCAATAAGTTTTATTTATTTTCTACTTTCTACTTACCACACCGCCAACCCATTCCGTAGGCTTCAACGTTGCAACGTCGTATACAGTAGCGAATTGATTTCCCATTGATATTACAGAATATCTGTATGAATCATTAGGATTAATATCTTGTCATGAAATATTTAAATATCACTCACAAAACAATATATTTCACTTACCCCGATTCTAACTCGCTATTCCATAAATAATCACAAATTGCAGCTTCGATGTCATCAATTCTGGTTGGAATGTCCGCTTTTTCAACCTACAATTTTGCATACAAATTTTTGTCACAACAACATAATAAAAATCAAATTAAGTATTCTTTTATTAAACTTACCTTCTGCTTCTTCTTCTGGGGTGCAGGACATTCCGAATCCAAAACTGCTGCTATAACACTCTCCGGTGTATAAATGACATCGACTTCCTTCCTCCTCATTTCTTCCATCTCTTCTTCTTCCTCCTCCCTCTTTTCTTCTTCATATTTTTTCAGTTCATCGTACTTTTTTTCTACATAGCTCTTCATATCTTTTATTTCACCCTTCAATTGAGCTCCTTCATCCGAGTATTTATCAACCACCCCCTTCACCCCCGTAAGTTCACTCCTCAAATCAACAACCTCCTTCACCACTCCCTCAAATTTTTCTCCCGTCACCATCTTAATATCACCCCTTAACACCGAAACTTCTTTCACCACTTCACCCCTCAACACCTCTACTTCTTTCACCACTCCATCTATTTTTCCTTCCACTACCCCCTTATGCCTCTCGAGTTTCTCTACGACTTGATCAAGTTTCTCTTCGACTCTTGATTGTCTTTGCATGATTTCAAATTGGATTTTTTTGATATCAGCCAATTCAGACATCAAAATGTCGAAGTTACTCTGTTTTGCTTCACCGTCGTCCCACTCACCTTCATCCCCCAATACAACCATCCCTCCTTTCTTCTCCTCTGCCTCCACTGCCTCCTCTACATCCTTGCCAATAACCTTCAAAAAATTAAATTACAATATTAAGACATTGATTATATTCTTAATATTATTTAATTACATTTATTACCATTTCTTGCTTCTTCCCTCTATCCAACTTCAACTTCACCATCACTCTAACCACCTCTTCCTTCCCCCATGCACGGATGCGTGCCACTCCGGTTCTTTCATAAGCCGGCACTGCCTCACAGCCCGACCAAAAATCGAACAGTGCAACCTGCATTTATAATAAAATTAGAATTTTTATATAAAAACACAAAAAAGTGATTCAACTCATTTACCTCTAAGATTGCTATGCACCCTTTGAGGTATCTCTGGCTGCCCTTTTTAAAGGTGATAATTGATTCAATCAATCTCGAATGGATATATTCAGCCCAATTGAATTCACCCTTCAAGCCTTCATCGCAAATGAGCTTCATATATTCCTTGTTCGTTGACGTATCACCCGTTGGACAAAGAAATATACCGACAAGGTACAATAGAACTCGGGCCTTCAGCTCATCCCCCAAGTAATATCCACTTTTGATATCCTCTTCAACTTCAGTATATGTCACCTTATGATTCAAACCATATTTGGAGGCAAGTGCTTTCCAGTTCTTACTCCTACAGACTTCTATAACACTTTTGCCTTTGTTTTGTACCCCCAATACGGCTGCAGCAGTCGATACCCCCAGAGGGAATGAATAATCACCATACTTAGCCATACATTGACTGACGTCAAATTGTGCCATCAAGGATCGACACAATTCCCTCCGAATAGGTCGATCCCTTACTCCGATCAACGATCCAAAACCTATTTCTCCCAGCACATTCAACTGACCCTTCTCCTTAAGGTGTTTAATTAATAAATTCACCCTTTTAATGCTGCATCTTGTCGACACTTCCTACATTTTTTAACAATATATAATGTTATAGTTCTTATATATTTTGTATCAACGTATTTACAAGTTTAATGAATACCTTATTTTCATGTGCTTTCCTCCGTTCTTTGTATTCTTTACTATCATTCCTTGACTGTGTGATGTAAGGTTCCTTTTCAGCATCACTCATTGAATTCCATTTGGACCTCACATCTTTTTTCACCTAATATTAAACATAAACGTTTCTTAATCAATACATTAACACTAAATACTAATACTACTCAATGTCAATTTCATTTTACATACCGAACCGCTCTGTGTGCCATCTCCCTTCATCCTTTTGCATTCGGCCATACTGTTAACATTTAAAATTTGTAATCAATTTAAAGTTTATCGATACTTTAATCCAATTACCATTTCAACAATAATAACAAAAAGACATTGATACTTACTAGAAGTACATATATCCACCCTTTGGTTGCTTTCGAGTCTCGGCCTCAATTTCAAAGTCATCTGCTCCACCAACAATTTTCCAACCCATTGACTCCATTTTTCCTTCATATATCAGTTTACGCAAATCAAATTATTTTGTTACATACACTTTTCAATATACAAATATAGATAACTACTCTTGTGGTAAAACGGTTTTCTTCAAAAGAATTTGAATGGCCACACCAAAATGTGTCGGCACATTTATACAACCTATAATATCATTTTCTACCTATAATATTTAATAAAAGTATCGACATTTATATTTTTCCTTGAATATCTATTTCTACCTGCAATCGGTCCCAAATGCTTCCTTACTCCAAAACCCCAAACAACACATAAAAAACCCTATCGCGATTACTGTAATAATAAAAAATTAGGGTTTCGACAACATACTTTTCGATTCGACTGCAGCAACAAACAAACAAACTTCGCTTTAGAAACGCCTTCTGAAATGCAGCAACAATTACTCTTCGATTTCAAAAACTCGTCCGTTCTATCTATTTTCAGAGGATATTTAGCTTATATTTTCATCGGATATGTTATTTATATTTAATCGATACAAATACAAAAGTGTCGATACTTTTATGTCAGGTGTCGATACTTTCGAAAGGATAATTACCTATTTCTTTGAAAGTGTCGATAATTTATTACACGTACTTACGAAAGTATCGACACTTTCAATATATCCGGTATCATTTTAACGTTTTTATCATTTTGATACCGGTTTTATCATATTTTTACCTGTTATATCGTTGTGGATCGATATTTTTTTTTAAAGTATCGACACATTATAGGCGCTATAACTGCTTCTCTTTTAAATTCACAAAGTGTCGATCCTTATATAACGTATCGACACTTTTAAATTTACCGGTTTTATCATTTTGTTACCGGTTTTATCATATTTTTACCTGGTATATCGTTTTGGATCGATATATTTTTTAAAAGTATCGACACTTTTTAGGATTTAAAACTGCTTTTAAAGTTATGTAATTTATGTTTCAATTTATTTAATAGTGTTTCATGTTTTCCACCTACAATATTAATTTAATAATTTAATTTACACAAAATTTTATTTGATTGTTTTGATATTTTATAAAATATTATTTAGCATTTAAATTTAACAATATTAACCAAATATAATAATAAATATGTTTTCAACAGTGAAATAAGTATGGACACTTTTATAAAAATGATATATACTTTTTTGAAAGTTATGTAATTTATGTTTCAAATTTTTTAATAGTGTTTCATGTTTTCCACCTACAATATTAATTTAATAATTTCATTTACACAAAAAATTATTTGATTGTTTTGATATTTTATAAAATATTATTTAGATTTTAAATTTAACAATATTAACTAAAGATAATAATAAATATATTTTCACAGTGAAATAAGTATGGACACTTTTATAAAAAGGATAGATAATTTACAATATAACAAGTAAAAATATGACAAAACCAGATTCATTATGACAAAACCGGTAAAATTTACTTGATATGTTAAACGTATGGACACTTTTATAAAAAGGATAGATACTTACCGATAACCAAAGTTTACCGGTTACCAAATTTTTTAATAGTTTTTCATATTTTCTACCTAAAACATTATTAGTTGTCAACATAATAGGTACCGCTAAACCGAATTTATTAAATACATTTTAATGTATCCGGTAATGCTGTATATTAGCCGTATATTAACCCGCCTTTCCTGAGACATCCCCCATGAAACACCCTTTGTTTTTTTTCCAATAATGATCCTCTTTTCTTTGTTTTGAATGAATAGATAACTGTTTCGGTACTATTAATGGCGAAGGACAAATTTTGCAGCTTTTGGTTATTTGGGGAGGATTAGCAATTTGCTATTAAAACAACCAAATGAAACTTGATTATGTTAAGCCTCTTACTTAGAGAAAAGTCGATGGAATAATTTTTGATCACTTTTGAGAATCTTTACATGATAGAAAGAAACACGACAAAACTGATATTTAGAAATTTACATCCATTATACCAAGAAAGATTATATTAACTAAAGAGTGAGAATCTATGGTCCCCGGTGGACGGCCCATGATCTGAATGCATTATTAAGTATCATCTGCCATAAGAATAGGTGTATGTTTCCTTCTATAAGGTTTGCCAGTTAAGATGAAGACAGACAAGCTGACCTGGCCTGGCCTTTAGCACTGGACACAACATCCACTCCTCGGTCAGGTTTCGGACCTACTAGTGGATCTGTCGGTTCCAGCACATTTGGGCCCATAAAACACACTACTTTCGACCTTATTGCACAAACTGGGTCCTTCTTTACAATGCACTGTTCCGGAAAAAAGAAATTATATCACAGTGACACTCAAACAAGCTGATATCTTTACTGAAACTCGAACATATTCACCAACTGATGGTTTAAGAACCAAAGGAATCATATCACAGTGACATTCGAAATAAATGCAATACAAAACATATGCTATATCTTAATTATTACAAACCTGACTCGATATATGTTATGTACATCAACTTAGTAAACCAAATCACCTTTTTGATAACATCACATCAAGAGCTACGAGGCTGCAATGCACCTTGAAGATTCTTAACAGCACTGTCATAGTATACAAACCCCATGAACCAGAATTCATGGTTATCAACTGATATAATCTGTATGTATTTCTCAGCCGGGTTGGTTTTGCTAGCTGATGGATTCACTGCCCTCAGCTGATGTAATGGAATAACCACCTACATGAATGTGTTGCGACCGGACACAAGATCACATACTAAATAATGGAACGGGTTAACAAAGACAATTACGGGTTTAGATTTCATGCAGTTCACTGACAGTATATAAACTTATAAATCAAAAATATAAATCTTTAAATAAATGATGAAAGCAAGAATATTTACAAACACAATGAGCACAAGTATGCATTAAAAGAAATAAGAAGAATAAGAAGCTATCAAAACTTTTGAGAAATCTCTAACACGTAGTAGGTCCTTATAAAACCGAGAAAGGGGAAAACACAATCCCAGAAATTTAATGATTTGAATAGCCTTAGGCCATCTATTACAGGATGGCTTTTGATTGTGTTCTTTAGAAGCATAAGATCAATTAAATTTAGTACATCTGAGGATGTCGTGATCTATTTACAGCTGTCCCAGCTCGATCCATCTAATGTAAATATTCTACCTTCAAAGTGCCAGTTAACGATCTGACCCATTGTCATCCCTAATTACAATATTTTTTGAAAATGCTAACCAAGGGATGAAAAAATAGTAATTCACGTCCTTACCATCCTATGAAACTACCAAAACATAACAATTTTCTTATCATTAATTCCAAGGCTAATTGTTAGTCTACATACACTCAACTCGACCCTAGCCCTTAGTTGACTCATCAAAATGCAGCATTAACTTCATGAACCAAAGCAGTAATGCATAACATAAAACCTGTTTAGTGTTTACCTTATAATAGCTATATTGAGTCTGGTCACCAACTTGATAAGACAATGGGTTGTCGCTACAAAAAGCAAGCTTTTCAGTCGACAGATATAAAACTCCAATAACAGGACCAGCCGAGGTGGACAAGTAGCAGGCATATGTCTTCAGAAGCTTTTCTTCGGGAACAGTCTCAAATGTTGTCCCAAAGATCTTCTCATAACCACCATCTGCAATAACTTTGGTTGTCTGAGCAATTTTTCCTACAGCAGCGTCAGCAAGACTCGGCCCAGTTTTCACTGCAACAACAATTATTATCCATTCATTTGACAATATGTAATAAAATAGTACAGAAATAGCAGGGGAGAGAGGGTAATTATCAAAAAGATAGAAACAATTACAGTGTTGCCACATGTTCTCAGCTATCTCTTTCGCCTTCTTGGTATCGTCCGCCGCTTTCTTTCCCCATTTCCCCAACACGTCTCTCACTGATTCCATCTTATCTGCTCGAAGAAAAAAAGGGGTTTAAATTTAAATAGACTTCAAAGTATATTCAAAATTCCAATTACACGTAAACTGAAGCGAGTACTCTTGACGGAAGATGATTGAACTGGTGATGGAGAAACGTAAGGATTGGACTCGGCAGGCATGGTGGTGGCACCGCTGGTAGAGATCGGTGCCGGGTGTCGATTTGGATCTGATTGGGTACCCATAGAAACGCTGGACCAATTTTCCGGTGGAGGAGCGACGTCATTCGGGTCTAATTTCGGGTAGGGAGCGTAGTCAGAAGAGACGGTCCGCGGTTGGATTGACTCCGAGGGTGATGTTGACTGCTTGGTTTCCGGGATTTTCTCATGATCGGTCGGGGGCTGGCTCATCATTTCTTTGAGTTCGGATCAGATAAAGGAAAGGGAGAATTTGGAAATTCGTTTATTAGACAACGGAAAAGCTAATATCGGATCAAAATTCAAAATTTAAAAGAAATCTTGAGGAAGATGTTCTTACGATAGTTGTCGTTCTTGTTTCTTTTTGTCCGAACTTTGAACTTTGCATACCAAGCGAACAGCTGGCACTTGATCACGCCACGTGCCACAGGATAACGTAATATAATATAAGATAAACTATCTGCTTAATCATCTAATTTCCAATATGTTTTTAGTTTTGATCACTCAATTATTGTATTTTTGATGTGAACATTATTGTCTCAAAATTTGTTTTTTAGTCGTTGTTCTGTTAGGTCTTTTACCACACTGATGACATGCCAATTTTTCTTTCAAAAATTATGCAAAAATCTTTGAAATCGATTAGCTTTAAAATTTAAATTGAACTTTTTACGAGTTTGAAAGAAGTTTTCACATAATTTAAACTAATAAAATAATAGGAATAGGGTCAGCTAAAATAATAGGAGATGATGCAACAAATTCACTAACATTTAAAGAGGTTTAAAATATTTAAATTTTGAAAATTCTAACGATGACATGATATGAAAGAAATAATTTTATTTTTCATGAGAGATATAATGAAATTGGAAAACAAATTTTAAGAATTTGGTGATGAATTTGAAAATACTTATAGTTAGGAATCTAAAACATAAAGATGTTAAGAAATTGAATAGCTAAACATGTATTTTATCCTGTAAAAAAACGAACCGACTTTATTTAAAGGGAAAAAAATTTAGTACGTAAATGATTCAATGATTGTAAGACGTTGATTTGTTATTAGGATTAAAAATTTTAAAATAGTCTCTTAATTATAGGATATTTATTTATTTATTTATTAAAACGTATAAAATGGTCATATAATTATTTTTATGTTCTAAACTCGTCATTTTCTGTCAAAAATGTTAGTATGAACTATATGTTAACTCACTGATTAAGATATAATAAAATATGATCACAAAATATTGAACATCTATACAACAATATGAGATTAGGTTTTCTCATATCACATTCAACATGTTAATATCCAACTCATACGACTGTAATTTTTAACGAAAAGTGATGAATTTAAAATATATGAATAATCAGGTTATTACTTTGTAATTTTTAATAGTTGAGAACAGTTCAACAAAGTCTCGTTCTATAATTATTAGATCTTTTTATTATTTTTAATAGTTAAATATTTAATAAAATAATGTCATATAATTAATAGTCCATTTGTGTACTATACCAAAATAAGAAAAAAAAAACACGCATATCCTCAAGAGTCAGGACTGTGTCTGTCTTTGGGCCTTCCCTTGTAAAGCAGCATGGAATGTTTTATTTTTGGGCTCCTGAATCAATCCACCTCAATATTCCACCCATCCAATCTAAAAGTTTTCTTATATATTAAAACTAACATTTGATTTTAAAAATAAAATAAAATTTTAACATTTATATTAATGTAAAGTAAAACCGAAATATATGAACTCTTCCCCCACCCCACAATTTATAATTTCAAGTCGACAAGTCGAGCTTGAATAATTTTTATGTGATAAGATTATAAAAGTGAACATTTTAAACCTAAACAAATAAACATTTCATAAAACACTTAAATTCATGAACATTTCTAATATAACATTACACTTGTAATAAACTTTTCTCCTTTAGCTAGTGTTAGAAATATAATATAATAGAATATAATTAGTTGATATTGGTTTAGTCAAATTAATTGAGTTTGTTAAAGGTTGGTTAGTTTGTTAGATCAAGTTGTTAAACTTGGTTTAATGGTGCGATATAAGTACTGTTTGTAATGGGTTAAAGATTCAAGCACTTCGTAATTCATTCTTTCATAGTAAGTAAACAAAGTTACCTTATGTTCATCTTCTGGTCTATGTCTCATTTCTCACATGGTATCATTCGCCAAAAAGATCCTGATTTTGGTTCATTTTCCTTCCGCTGAAGATGTTATGGCTTGATGATTTGTTTGGTCGTTGTTCATTCAATTAGTTTGTCTTCTGTTTGGAGCTTGTTTGTTTGTTGCTTCTCTCAAAGGCACTTTAAGATCTATAGATGAAGATCACACATGTGACTCATAAACCAAATCCTAAACTGTTCAGCCTGTTCTCGTTTTCCTTACTCGATTAGTTATGTTACTCGCTTTGTTTTTTTATCGTGTGCATCGGTTTTTCGATCTATGTTTTTGTTGTAAGAGTTTCTTGTTGAACCGTAAGGAAGTATACTCGTTCTGACTCGTTGTTAGAAGAGTAGATGAGTGGTTGTTTGGAATTCTTTCGATCGAAAGCTGTGTTTCGTTGATTTGTTCTTTGTCTTCGAAACTCTATACGTTCTTGAAGGTTTTTTGGCTGAGGTTGCTTCTGTTTGGAGGGTGTTTGTTTAAAGAGAGTATGGTTTTGGGGTGTTCTTTCAAGTTTGTGCTCACTATCTATTTGTCATATTGCCTAAGAGGATATGGTTTTTCTTTCAACGAGGAAAAAATTGTTCAATGTACATGATTTCTAGCTCACAGTTATAACTAACTAGGCTTGCAACATTGTTCGATCAACTCTCAAATCATACGGTGAATTTCAAGAAGGGTGAAGAAGCAATGAAGGAAAAAGAAGAAGAAGACACTATTTTCTTTCAATTTTTTTTTTCAAGAAGATCAAGAAGAAGAAGCAGGAAAAATGTTAGAAATATAATATAATAGAATGTAAATAGTTGATATTGGTTTAGTCATGCTAGCATGTTGAGTCAGCAACAATGGTGCCCGTACTGCGTATGCACTGCGTATGAATGCTTAGCTTGCATGGTGTTGTTAGTAAAGTAGTTAGGAGCTTCTTGAAGCTGTTAGTGGCAGTTAGGGTTGTTAGTATCAGTTGTGAAGTTTGTTAGGCTTATATTAGACATTATAAGTTGTATATAAACAACAGAAGTTTGTATTCCATAAACAGTTCTTTTCACAATCAATATACAAGTGTTATACTTTCTTACTTGTTGCTCATCTCTTTTTCATGTTCACAGTGCCATTCATGGCCCTTTTCTCACATGGTATCATTCGCCAAAGATCCTGACGTCATCTTTCTTTCGCTATTTCCATTTTGTTCTTTGATCGGGTTCTTCAATCGCTTCAAAGTTTCCTTCGTTGTTTTCTTGGCTCTTGCTGGTTGTTTTCTTGGTTTGTATGATTTCTTGTTTCCAATCTCTCATTCGTTCTGGTTTCTTTATTTTTTGGGGTTTTTCTTGGGAGCATTTTGGTGTTTTTTCTTGGTTCCTTTTCTTGGTTTGGTTTCAATGGTTGGTCTGGATTCCATTGGTGTTCAATAGATTCCTAAACAAGACATTGTTAAGCTCACTGAGCATACGTATCTTTTATGGAAACATCAGGTTACTCTGGTGATTGATGCTTATGGTCTATTTCGGTATATCTCCAACACTGTTGATGTTCCAGGAGAATTTGTTACTGATGGCCAACGTGTTGAAAATTCAGCGTTTGTGTTCTTTTGGCAACAGGACAAACTGTTAGCTTCTTGGATTTTAACCACTGTGAGCATGGACGTCTTACCCCATTTGACGGGTCTCACATCGTCATTAGCCATATGGAATACCATTTCTCGGCTTCTTGAAAGATTAAGCTCCCGAGATGTTGTTTCTTGGACTTCTATTATTTCAGGTTCTGTGCTATGTGGATCCATGCATGAAGCGCTTCTGGCTTTCTTTAGGATGCAAGAAGATGGGGTTGCACCCAACGAGGTGACAATTATGAGCAGTTTACATGCATGTTCCTTCATTGGACGACTAAGGATTTTACAGGGGTTCATGCCTTGGTTTCAAAATTAGGGTGTCATCAACATGAACTTGTATTGAATTCTATAGCTGAGACATTTGTGATTTCATCTACACTTCCGATTCAAGTCGAACGGAAGGAAGCATCGTCACTTCCGATTCAAGTCGAACGGAACGAGGCATTGACACTTCCGATTCAAGTCGAACGGAACGAGGCATCGACACTTCTGATTCAAGTCGAACGGAAGGAGGCATCGGCACTTCCGATTCAAGAGGAACGGAAGGAGGCATCGACACTTCCGATTCAAGTCAAACGGAAGGAAGCATCGGCACTTCCGATTCAAGTCGAACGGAAGGATGTAGCGCACTTTCGTTTCAAGTGTTCGTCTTTTCATCAAGAAGCGCACTTTTGAGAGAAGATTGGATTTCATGGATGTTCAAGTTCAGAAGAGCAGAAAAAGAAGTAGAGGGAATGTTAGCATGTTGAGTCAGCAACAATGGTGCCCGTACTGCGTATGCACTGCGTATGAATGCTTAGCTTGCATGGTGTTGTTAGTAAAGTAGTTAGGAGCTTCTTGAAGCTGTTAGTGGCAGTTAGGGTTGTTAGTATCAGTTGTGAAGTTTGTTAGGCTTATATTAGACATTATAAGTTGTATATAAACAACAAAAGTTTGTATTCCATACACAATTCTTTTCACAATCAATATACAAGTGTTATACTTTCTTACTTGCTGCTCATCTCTTTTTCATGTTCACAGTGCTATTCATGGCCCCTTTCTCACAAGTCAAATTAACTGAGTTTGTTAAAGATTGGTTAGTTTGTTAGATCAAGTTGTTAAATTTGGTTTAGTAGTGCTATATAAGTACTGTTTGTAATGGGTTAAAGATTCAAGCACTTCGTAATTCATTCTTTCACAGTTAGCTTCGTAATTCATTCTTTTACAGTTAGTAAACAGAGTTACCTTCTGTCTATGTCTCCTTTCTCACAGCTAGCATAGCTGAAAAGGCTATTTCCCAAGAGCACGACTTGAAGCTTTTTTTTGGGGGTAGAATCTCCAATTAGCTTAGCCATAAATTAAAAGACAAGGCTATATTATTCATGTTTCTGCCTTAATCTTGGACTTCCGAGATGTGTGGACAAGCATTTCATCCACAATTTTGTCAATCCAATTGGTTTGGTTTTAAAAATGCTGTAATGGAGAGTAAAAAGAAAGGGGTTTTATTCTTTGTCGACTGATGTTCCATTTTTTTTATGAACAAGACGCATTACGGTGATAATAAAATCATTTTAAAACAGAATTAAGCCTCACTACTTTATGGAAAGATACTAAAAAAAAAAAAAATTTAAGTCAACTATGGGGATTGGGGACCAAACTACTTGCATCTTTACTTGATATGTCTTGATGCATTGGAAGGCACATGTATTTATTCCATTCTACGTAGTATTTACCTTGTTTATTGCTGAAATTGTTCGGTTACCAAACGAAATCATAGAAATATTCAATTTTTTTTAAGAATCAACATCTTTTCTTATTTTCTCCAATTTGTTTTGTCATCTTTTCACATTGATGTTATGGGTCCCCCCCAATTAATCTGAGCCTTTCTATCTAAATATTACTTTGAAAAAAAATTAGCCCCATGTTTATCAAAATGAGTGCTAATTTTGATATTATGCGTATTCAAAATAACATCCTCTTCAATATATTTGATGGATTGGTATTTTTTTGTGGTCATTCTACGTTAGATACGCCTTTTAAAAGCTCTTTTTATTGAAAGTATCTTTTATAATGAATGATAATGAAATAAAATAAACTACAAAGACCAATATAATAACTCAACTCTATAAATTATAAAAAAAATATCAGTGTTAGTGGATTAGTTTTAGTGCTAGATTAAAATAAAACTATAAGTAAAATGTAGAAGAAATCAACAAAGCTTTTGTGTGGGCCGATAATGATGTCGATTTCATTTGAAAATAAATAAAATAAAATTTGGATCTATCCTAATTAGTCCACATTTGAAATTCTTTTATTACTATCATATATAATTTTGTTTACTTGCACATGCATGATTAAAGCAGTCGTAACTTGAACTATCGATATTTGATTCAAACATTTTAAAGACGCATTGGGAATTTTAAAAACAATCTATTAATTTTTAAAAATATATTTCGAACTAAAAATACTTGGATTCCATTTTTGATATACATTATAAGTGAGTTGATATCTCTTATTTTAAAAAAAAACAACCTCATTGAATTATTTAAAGCAATTTGTTTGACCTAAATTATGCATGCATCAAAAGATGCTCAGAGTATCAATATAGTTAATTAATTAGTAAGAGATAAATCTCAAATGCCTTGGTAAAATGCTGCCTTTAGACTTCCATTTTAAGTTATGATAATATTTATTGCGCCTTTGATTGACAATACAACTCAGAGTCAGTTTGATATTAATGTGGAGAAGCATTTTTAGTTTAAATTTGCGACCAAACGGCTAAAAATTAAAAGGATAAATACGTTTGAAATGATGGTTTTAAACCAACCGCAAAAACTAGAAATTCCCACAATTTCACTTCCAAATTATGTTTGAAATTATATTATGTTTTTACCCTTATGTCAAGTGGGCTCCATTCATTTAAAATGTCTAAAATAATCATTTACCTACGTAAAAGCATTTTTAACGGTAATCTCAAACACTCGAAATTTTAAACTAAACAAATAAAAATACTTTTAAAAGTAATTCTTCACTACAATTTTCAAAAGTTATACAAATTTGGTCCTAAATTGCTCTTGAACATATGAACAAGACACACATTTATAAGATGGATGTGAATCGTCATTCTCTTATGTTTTATCAAATGAATTAGAATTCATCAAATAATCAATTAATTTTTAATCTCATGTTTAGTAAAGAATGTAGTCCGATTAGCCATCAAAACATGAGCTCTATCAAAATCATCTTTCTTTTCAGCATGGTTCTTTGGATTTTGAATCACATTAGGAGGATGAGAAGAAATTGTGACTTAATTTGTATGGAAATTTAAAGTTTAGGTGTTGTTTAAAAGATTTTTTGAGAGACTAAAAAAATTATATTATTTGAATTGAGAATTTCTTATTTTGTTGAAGAGGGAACTGCTTTGATACCATGAGTGGTCGAAGCTATCGTCGAAATCTGGTGGTGATAACTTGAAACGACAACCGTAGTGTGGGATAGAAGAATAAATTTTAGAGGTTTATTAGCCCGTTTTTGAAGTAGAAAAATAAAAAAATGCAACATAAATCTTATTTTGGTTAAAGTTCAAACGTTAAATTAGAAGTTATTTATTTTTATTAACATGTATTGTCATTATTATAACATGAACAACAAATGAGTTATCATATTGTGATTAATTGATAATATAAGTGACTCAAAAATAATTTTTAAAAATTGAGTGATCAAAACTGGAGAAAAATGAAACAAAGGTGACAATTTATGTAATTTATTCTTAAAAGTAACACAAAAATAAGTGGATTTGTATTAATGTTGTGTGTTTTATTTAAAGTTTAGAATATAAGGTTAAATGTTTGTGTTTACCATTTAGGGTTTAAATTTAAAATTTGCAAATCAAGGTTCATAATAATTCAAATATATCGCATGTTGATAATATATCCCACCTGTGGAATAATTATTTTATACTTTTCTTGCATAAAATAATTACTTTTTTATGGATAATTCTATCTTGCAATTCTCTTGTTATTAGCTAATTATTTTGAGATAAGACAACAAAAACAGAAATTTTATTGAAAATGAATATTAGATGGAATCAAGAAAGTATAATAAAGTGCTATCCAAAAAGAAATTAAAATGACAAAGATTGCAAGTTATTATCTAAAATCTACAAGTGTATTTTGTATTTTTGTCAGTGTAAACTTTATGGAAAAAAGTACATGATTTTTTTTAAAATAATAAACTTAATGTTAGTGGCTAAATTCAACCTTTTATGAGTTGTATCTTATTAAATTATAAAAAGTTAAATGTTCAAATTTTAAAAGATTATAATATATGTAACGAAGATTAAAATTATTAGATGATTGCCTTTCCCCCTATATTTTGCAAAAACGGCCAATGGCATTCATGATCCAAATGGAAGAATGTTGCGACGTTTATAGGCAATTTAAAGTGTACAAATTAACCAATATCAGTTATAATGAAAACCCCCCATCATCTTTTAGGTATTTTTGCATAAATAACTTTTTAAAAATAAAATTTTAAAGACGTTTGATAATGATTAAATATTACCTAACAAATGAAGAAAAGATAAAGAATAAAGGACAATGGGAAAAAGAAGACTAGATCCAAAGATTTTAAGAACTCATCAAACACCTAAAAAGATAAAAATAGTTTTTTTAAGAGAAAATAATTTTAGTGACTGAAAATGTCTTGTAATATACGATTTTAATCCTTTTTTTTGGATTTGCGAAAATGACCAACAAATCCGCAACGCGAAATTCAATTTCGCAACTCAGTTTCCAAATTCGCATCGCGAATATGTAAATCGCATTGTGATTTTCTGAATTCGCAACACAGAAGTCAAATTCGCAACACATAAGTCAAATTCGCAAAGCGCGTTTATTTTTTCAACGCGAATTTTATTTTCGAATGCGAAACACAATATTAATTTCGCAACACAAATGTAAACAGTATAATCGCAAATCATAACCTAAAACCCTAAATCACAACTCAGTACCATCTCCATCTCTCACTCTCTACGGCGACATCCGTCCCCATCTCCGACGAAATCCGTCCCTATCTCCATCTCTTAGAGCCACCCTCACAACCATTCACAGTCAGAAATGGAAAATCAACCACCGATGGTTAGTTTTTTTAATTATTTTTATTTTGAAATTTTTGTATTATTATTAGATTTTTCATATTTAAATTGATGATAAATTTACTGGTAATTTCAATAATAGATTAACCATTTCACTTAGATTGCTTAGTAAATTCATTCGGTTGCTGCCAATACTGCTAAACTATTTAGTCTTTAACCTTGTGAAGTTAGTATTTGTATTT